GATAAAATTATCATTTGTACATTTTCAAAAGTTTAATTACAGAAAAATTGGAAAAATATTTATTTCAACAGGTTCGTAATGTAATATCCTATCGATTGGCGTATTTGGATTTTAATTTCATCTATAAATGACAAAGTTACAAGCGTTCAAAACCTAACACTCCTTCACCACACATATTTTTTGACTTGCACCCCAGTATAGTCGACAAATACGTAGTTCTACGTCAAAAAATAAACGAACTAGATAAAAAAAAAAATTGAAAACTTTTAAACAATGTCCTGAGGATTTCAGAGAAATCATTGATCATCTGTAGGTTTTTGAAGTAATTTCTGATCATACTGGAACCATGAGTGAATATCTGAGAAACGCTTTTTCAACTCCTGGACAGGGTTGCTTCCACTCACTTGCTATAAAAAAATATTTTTCGGAATTATGCAATCATTAGATGTTATAATGATATGTTGTACTAGTAAGTAACAAGAAGCGGGGGTAAAGTATGTGTTTGACTCATAAAACCTGTCAATTTTGCTTTCAGAGCGTCACAATCAGCGATCATATGATTCGTGAGCGTTCACTCAGAGTGAGCGCTCACGAGTCGTAAAATCGCTGATTGTGACGCACTGAAAGCAATATTGACAGATTTTATGTGTCAAACATATACTTCATGACCTCTTCTTGTAACTTACAAGTACTAATTAGCATTATACTATTTCATGATTTCATAATTCCGAAAAACATTTTTTTATAGCAAGTGAGTGGAAGTAACCCTGCTCCTGGACAGTTGAAGAACTTCGGAATAAAATCTTTTTTTTCTTGATTTGTTTTCCGTCGATCTTGTTTTCCGCGCTGAGCACCAATGCTACCGACGAATGGGAGGCAGCTCCCACACCTGGCCCCAACCTATCGACCCATCAACGCATGAACCGGGACCAACGGCTTTACTTCCCGTGATTTGAGATGTTATGCCTCAGAACATTCTGGCGGCGCCGACTGGGATTGAATCCAGGCCTGCTGGGGTGAGAGAAAATCACGCTTACCAGTACACCACTGGCGCCGCTTAGAGAATAAAATTTGATCGATATGAAGACTTGAACAAAAAATCATGAAATAAACTTCGGCAAAAATCTTTCCAGAACTCTAGAAAAGTTCTTTCCACAACTTGAGGCAAGTTTTCCCTCAAATCTGAAAGGATGCTCTTCCCAGAATTTTTGAAATGCTAATACCAGAAGTCCAGGGAAATTCTTCTCTGAACTTTATGGATGTTCTTCCCAGAATATGAAGGAAGTTCTTGACTTAACTTCAGCAAAGCTCCAACCAACACTTCAAAGAAGTTCTTCCCAGTACTTTAGGCATGTACTTTTTTTTTCCCTTTGATGTGTTTTCCGTCGATCTTGTTTTCCGTGCTGAGCACCAATGCTACCGACGCCAGGGAGGCAGCACCCACACCTGGACCCTACCTATCGACCCATCAACTCATGAACCGGGGACCAACGGCTTTACTTCCCTACCGAAGGAAGGCGTGATCAGAGATGTTATGTCTCAGAACATCCCGGCGGCGCCGACTGGGATTGAACCCAGGCCTGCTGGGGTGAAAGGTAATAACGCTTACCACTACACCACCGGCGCCGCTGGGGGGGCATGTACTTATCAAAACTTCAAAAAAGTCCTTCGCAAAACTACAGAAAAGTTCTTCCTAGAAGTCCATGCATGTTTTATTCAGAACTTGAGCTATGTTCTACCTAAAACTTCTATCGACAAGTTGAAATATGTTCATCCAGAACTGCAAAAAGTTCTTCTCAGAAATTCAGAAATGCTCTTCCTAGAGCTTCTGGTAAGTTCTTTCCAGAACTTCAGTAAAGTTCGTCAAAAAATTTCAGGGAAGATTTTCCATGAACTTTAGGAACGTTCTTTCCAAAACTATAGAAAAATTCTTCAAAGAGATTTTCGGAAGTTCTTTTTTTTCAAAAAATTAAGAAAAAATCTTCGTAGTTCTTTCTAGAACTTAAGAAAAGTTTTTGACAGAGCTCCAGTGAACTTTTCGGCCTGTAGCTGCTTCACTCAAACTATGCCTTGCAACATCATTTTGAGATTTTTATGTTTTATTTAGAAATGGGGTCTTGTTTTTGGTCTCCCAAAAAAATCAGCAGTGAGTTGTTTAATTTTGCTCGACTATGTGATTAATTCTATTAATCCTTGGGAAATTTATACTCACAATTCGATTCCCTTGAATTTTCGTGAACCCTGAAATCTTCTTCACAATCGTCATGGAATTTTCCACAAAATTTCTAAACAATTCTACTCTGAACTCACACAATTGCCTTCGAGTTCTACTCGAACTCTTATATACTTGCTGTCGGAAGGTACAGCATAAAACCGGCTCAGAAAGAAGGAGGAATAAATTTTCCCATGAAAATATATTCCTTTATGAGTTTAAACCACGTTAAAAAAAATATTGTATTACTTCATGCGTGAAGTTAATGATTTACATAGTTGGAGATGCTTAACGTCAAATATCAGACTTAAAGTGGTCATTTTATATCACAGTACACACTGGGCCAAAAATATAATCTAGCGGAGCAAAATTAATAACTCCGAAACGAAGAATTTCCACCACTTGGTGTCTTCCGCAAAGTTTCTCATCATTATAAGAACCATCTATTGACATAAATAAATAGTTCAAAACTCTTCCGCAAAGATGGCGCCACAATCTAACTTCCTTCTCTGACGATTTGGAGACTTTATGTCTTCGACAAAGTTGTTTGCCTTGAAAAAATAAACAACTCTTTTGAAGACGTAAAATTTCCACAGCCTACTGGTTCCGAGTTATATGGAGTTAAAGAAAAAAAATGTCGAAAATATGCTTTTTTCTTTCCGTTTCGGTTTTTTTGCTGACAACCATATAATTTTATATTTTTCTCTTACACAAATGCATTAAATAAATAGCTTTTGTGAAGAAGAATACTGATTTAAGCTTCAAATTTGAAAGATATTGTTGAAAAACCGAAAAAAAAACAACAATGTTTGAACTTTAATATCTCCCAAAGCGCAAAAAATCGCAACCTGACATTTTCAGCAAAAATTAAGCAATACTCGATAAACAAAATATCAAAATTTGAGAGAGGTATATTTTGGTGTTTTTGAGATTTCATCATTTTAGTGGAGCATGTATTTTTTTCTATAACTTTTTTTAATGCATTAAAATGGCGTTTTGAAAACTTAACGACAAAGGCAAAGTTGTTTATCTTGATAAAATAAACAACTCTTCTCAAGAAGTCAAACCTCCACAGCCTACTGTTTTTTGCATGAAAAAAAGTTATAGAAAAAAATACATGCTCCACTAAAATTATGAAATTTCAAAAACACCAAAATATACCTCTCTCAAATTTTGATATTTTGTTTATCGAGTATTGCTTAATTTTTGCTGAAAATGTCAGGTTGCGATTTTTTGCGCTTTGGGAGATATTAAAGGTCAAAATTCAGTGCCGAACAAACTTCGAAATAAGTGGGGAACTAAGGGAATGATAACGTTATATAATTTCCAAGGAGGTGGTCGAGAAACTGTGTTAACATGTGATAGAGGGGGAGGGGGGAAGATTAATTTTGAGCTGAATTTACGTGACATAATTAATAAACGCTTCCTATTTGATGATGCCTGATTTTTTTTCTTGAAACATGCTTTAAAACTTCCACCACTGTATGACAGATTTTCCCTTCTGAAATTCTTCCTTTCCTTCGAGAAATGTTAATTTGTTGTTTAAGAAGGATGGAAATGAATTTTAGATGTGGTATAAATTGCAATTTGATGATTTAACCCAGGATATATGGGTTTATTAAAGGCTGTTTAATGCCTTGTTCTGGATATAGTGTTATAACATGTTAGAAGGCTACCTTGATGACTTTATTCATGTTGTTATTTATTTTAACATGTTGTTGCTCTGTAGTTGGAACAAAGCATAAGGATATTTGTTTTGAGTGGTATATTTAATTGATGTCCCCTTGTTCAAGTCTTGGCGTTTTGTTAATTTTTTCAATTAGTTAAATAAAATTCTTTGGAGTGTGATTGTTAGGGTGGGTAAAATTTGTATGGTGAATCACAACCGTCTGTTCACCACTGCTCTTCCAATGTGTATTGAGGACTCCTAGAAGGGAGCCAAATTTTAACAAACTTGGTTGATCTGGATTTAAAATTTAAACGAAACGTGCCAAAAATTCAAATATTGCTCAAATTTCTCCAAATCTTGGAAATAGATTGGGAACACAGAACAACTGCGTGGAAAACAGTAAGTTATTATTATATGAATTAAGACCTATTGTATAGCGCATACCTTCAGCAATATGAGATTGTAGGTACGTGTGTAACTCTTGGTTCAAAGTGAAAGATTAGCAACTTTTTGTACAAAGATCAAATCGATTTGCAGTCTTCGACAAAGTTATTTTGTATAGTGTTTTCAATCTAATTTGGTGAAATTTTAACAATATTTGGATTTTTGTAACCAATTTAGGACCGTTTAAAGTTGTCCCAGCTTAGTGATTATATAGCTTTAAAGCAGCGCTGGTCTCTGGATCTCAGCAATGATATCATTCTTGTCTAATTTTATTCATCGTTATGAATTTTAGGCCAGAACGAATGAGAAATAAAAAAAATAGTTTGAAACATGTTCATCGAACATAGATACAACCAGTGATGGAAAAGTTCATCGAAGTTCCCTATGACTCGCGAACTTTTCCCTTGGTGAACTTCGTGAAATATCGCGAACTTTTCCAACACTGGATACAACCATTTAAAAATGCAAGTTTAGAAAGGTTAAGCAGGCTTACTTTAAAGAGAGTATGACGTTGAAAAAAAAAACTCATGACGATTCAAAATTGCGTTGAATCCACTGAAAGTTAAATTAATTAATTTTATTAGAATATCCTTCCAATCTTTGAGCGTAATACTGTTTTAGGAACTACAAATTAACAATAAAAGATCAATCCGAAAATAATATCAAATAACGTAATCATCTTTCCTCCAGAGTGACCGGGCAGCCGTCCGCGATCTTCAGTATTATGGAATATTTGACGTTCAGTGTATCTAATGTATGTGATGTCCTCAGTCGGTACCTTCGCAGAACGTGGGCAATCATAATTTTCATGGAAAGCCACGCATATCGCACTCCTATACAGTTCCGTGGCCCGCCGCTGAACGGCAAATATGAATAGGGGTGCCTCTTTGCTACGAGGTCTGGCAGGAAGTTATCCGGGTTGAAACTGTCCGCTTCCGGTCCCCATATTTCTGGATCCCTGTGCACCTTGTAGATGCAACTGACTACTGTTGTGCCAGCGGGAATCGTAAAAGTTTCTAAAATGAAGAAGGATTGTCAAATGAAGTTGCATATTCGATATTTGATTAGCCGAGAATACCGTCCAATTTCACATCTCTTCTCGCCATTCGGCCAATGAGAGGGCCGACGGGAAATAGTCTCATCGTTTCCTTGCACACCATTTCAGTGTATGTAAGCTTGGAAGCGTCCCCTATCGTCACCGGCTGGTCCTTCTCCGGACAAACTGCCATTACTTCCTGGTAGACTCGTTCCTGAACATCGGGATACATTGCCAACATCAACAGCAGGTTGTTCAATGTGGTGGCCGTTGTATCATTACCAGCAAAGAATATTGTGAGCATGTGCTGTATAATATCCGCCCGTTTGATTATTGCTCCTTCTTGAACCGCTTCCAATAGTTTGTCCACAAACATCTGTGCTCTCTTTGTTCCTGTTTCCTCTTGCTTCTTTGGCTGGGGAAGTTCCTTGGTCAAATCCTCCTCGATTTTGAGCACTTGGGCCACTTTTCTAGACAAAACTTGCATCCCTTCGAATGCTTCAATTTCCTTTTGGTATACTTTCGTCATACGATAGATAAAATTAGGATAATATTGTGCTGCAAATACCCGTTGCGTAACGTATTGTATGTACGTTTCCTGGTGATCTAAATATTCTGCTCCAAGTGGTGATCTCTGCAGGTCTAAATCGATTCCGAATGCAGTACCTGCAAGTGCGATAAGGAAATGATAATTAAACTGGTGAAACATATTGAATAAAATCTGTGACTAACAGCAAATTGTATCGAGGGCACACAGGATGATCTCGTGACTGATGTTCTGCTGTGCTTTACCAACGTGTAGACTCAGCATGTCAGTAAGGATGGCACTCTTCTCGTTAAAAATCGACACAAAACTGCTGAGAATACCCGGTCCAAACGATGGGTTAAACATTTTTCTCTGGTCCTTCCAAAGTTCGGCTGAAATGGACTAGTTATGAACATCGGTCTCTTGAATTTAACTCAGTTGATATGATAGTAGATACCTGGTGCGGAGAATATGGCTCTACTGACCCGGAGAAATTCATACTGTTTGGGTTTGTCCAGACAGTGCTGCGAGTTGAGCACCATCTGGATATGCTCCGGTTTGTATGTGAACACATGCACTAGGGGACCGAGCTGGACTGCCACGGGTGATGCATACATGTTGCTGTACTTGTAAAGGTTTTTGAAGATTTTTTCTGAAAGGAAAATGTTAGGTTTAGTTATTTTAGCTTCACTAAGTATGAGTAGCGGAGAGGATAGCTATTTAATTTATACGAGAAATTCTCGGTTCGACGGTTTAAAATGCTCGTTTCCAGGAAATTATTTTGTGCATTCTTTGCCTCCTATTTTTTTCGTCAACAGAATTCCGTGAAATTATGTTTAAAGTTTTGAGTTTTGTAGGGTTTGAAATTAGCTACAATTAGCATGTGGGCAACTCAAATCTGTATCTCTTATGTATGATGACCCAGAGCAAATAGAACCCACCATTGTTTTTCAGTGAATGTGAATGCTTTATTCAAATCTAAGTGGATCAAATCATTGGAGTGGCCTGCCCAGAGTCCAGATTTGAAGCCTTTTGAAATTCTATGGGCAATTCTGGATAATAAGGTTGATAAGACTGGTGTTACCAACAAGGACCCGTACTTTTCAGCCTTGTCTCGAGCTTGGAGCAGTATTGACCCACCTGCATCTGCAGAATTTGATGAAAAGCATGCCAAAAAGTCTTCAGAAGGGCTCGACGCTCATGGCGGAAATACCGGGTACTAAAGGTCGTAAATCGATATTGCGTTGATTTTTGTGGATTAACGAAGTGATTATTTTTTTTGTCTTATATATATATATATTTTAAAACGTTACAAGTGAGTTTTTGAATAAATTAATTAAGACATCTTCAATAATTTTATGATAATTATAGTTAGAGTTAAGTAAATATTTTGATAGTAATTCTGGAGAATTTTTTTCGTTGCGGGTCACTGTAGAACGAGAATTTGTTATTGTTTTTAATGAATGTAATTTAACTTTACTGAAAAACAATGGTAGTTCGTCATGCATAAGGATTTGAATAAAAAAAAAATGTAGCTTATTTCAAAATCTAGAAAAGTGTAATACATCATGCTACGGAATTCTGAGGCAAATTAATGCTCGAAATGAATGTAAATGATTGTCCATGCCTTCTCGTTTCGCAATAAAATGTATTTCGGAATTATGAAATCATTAGATGTTACGATTATATTTTGTTCAAGTCCAAGGAATCAAAAATATCTCCAAATGACAAAATAACAAGCAATCAACGAACCGAATGATAACGCTTCTTCATTTTTTTCATGACAGAAAAGGCCCGTGCTCAGAAGAAAACGAGCAAATTGTTGGCAAGCGGGGTGTTAATGGGAATTTTGTTGTTATGTTTCTTTCTCGATTCAGATCAAGCTAGGGTAGGTGTTCCAGTAATAGTGATGTACCTATAGTTGCGGTATGAAGGTTGTGTCGGAATAGTGAGGAGGACCCGGATAGGATTATTTTTTGTTGGTAGCTGTCCTAAAATAAAGCATATTTACATATTTCAAACTTAAAATTAGACCTTAAGATTTTCACTTCATTGCACCTATAGTTGCGGTAGTGTTCCTATAATTATTATTATTATTATTATTATTCATCGGACAAACCACGGTCTACATGAATTAACTTACACTAGGCACCCTTAACACTATAGCATTGATCGAAGTCGTTGAATGAAAACATTAATACTAACATTGAAATCAAATAGATAAAAAACTTGGTTGAATTCAACACACATTGCCCTAATAGGTTCATTCTGAGCATAATCGGTCCTCTGAAAGTTAAGCCTCAAGATCTGCCGTTGACGGAGTTGTCTGGGCGTAATACCAAGGTTTATTCGAGAGAGTATGTAGGGAGCGTCAATTTCTCCTAACAGCAGCTTCGCAACAAATACTGCTTTCTGTTGGCTTCGCCTGCTTTCCAGAGTTGTCATTCCTAGCAGGCGACAGCGACTCTCGTACGGTGGTAAATCGTTTGGGTTATTCCAAGGCAGGAACCGGAGCGCGTATCTTACGAATCGTGATTGAACTGCTTCTATCCTTTTTATCCAGACCTCGTGGTGAGGACTCCACACGACAGAAGCAGATTCTAGTCCGGAACGTACAAGGGAGTAGTACAGTGATCGTAAGCAGTACGGGTCGCGAAACTCTTTCGAAATGCGGAAGATGAATCCCAGATTTCTGTTAGCCCTAGCGATGATGTTGGAGTAATGATCCCGAAACGTCATTTTGCAATCAAGCTCCACTCCAAGATCCCTGATGCTTGTGACTCTTTCCAATGCTTCTCCACGAATCGTGTATGGCCAGCAGATTGGAGATTTCTTGCGGGTGAAAGATATCACGGCACATTTTTTCACACTTATAACGAGATGATTCCTGTCACACCAGCCTTAGAAGAGATCAATATACTGTTGAAGCTTCTGGCAGTCTTCTATAGATCGTATTATCAAGTACAATTTTAGATCATCTGCATACAAGATTTTACACCCGTCTGGTAGGAGAGAGCAGACATCGTTGAAAAACAGGGAAAATAACAGTGGTCCAAGATTGCTTCCTTGTGGAACTCCTGAGCTGTTGCTGAAAGTGTGCGACTCAAAAGTGCCAAGTTTCACGCAAAGACGACGGTTCACAAGGTAAGATTCCATCCATTTGACAAACCGAGTTTCAACTCCTAAGCGTTCGAGTTTTGCGAGCAGGATTCGGTGATTGACACGATCGAATGCGGCTTTTAAGTCCGTATAAATGGAATCCATTTGATGACCATCGTGCATACTTAGAAGGCAGCTAGATGTGAACTGAATCAAGTTAGTGGCAGTGAATCTCCCTGGAAAAAAAAACATGTTGATCCGGGGATATGTACATCTTAGCAGCACGAATTAGCATGTTGTACACCAGTATCTCCAACAGCTTCGACCCAGCACACAATGATGTTACTCCACGGTAATTTGCGATATCTCTTTTGTCTCCTTTTTTGAACGTCGGGAACATTATCGAATCCTTCCATTTATCGGGAAATACAGAGTCTGAAAGTGATTTATAGCAGATAAATCTGAAGGGCCCACAGACATTCTCAGCACATTTTTTCAGAACGGTAGCAGGAATTCCATCTGGTCCAGCTGACATCGAAGGCTTCATTTTCCTCAGAGCTGTGAGCACATCCGTATCTGCGATGTCACCTACGCGGAAGTTGAGAGCATTCGCTGGAACATCCGAAAGAGCAATTTTTATTTGATCTTCGTCCACCATAAGTTCGTCAAATACGCTTGCAAAGTTTTCAGCGAACAGGTTACATATACCATCAATAGAGTCAGAGGATTCGTCTCCCAGGAACATGTTCGTTGGAAGGCCATTTTCCTTTCTTTTGTTGTTAACAAACGTCCAGAATCTTTTCGGGTTTTCTTTGAGATCTGATTGAAGCCGACGAACATGTCTAGCATACAAAAAGCGATTATACTTTTTGTATCTGTTACTAGCAACACAGAAATTTCTCTTGGAGAAGGGGTTCTTGTCCCTCGAGTATTTCCTCAGTGCTGCTGCTCTCTCACGTTTGAGTAGTCGGAAATGGCTATTTGACCATAGCGGTGATGGGCGAGAACGTGGTGGAGGGACACGTTTACGGAACAACTGGTGCAAGGTGATGGTGAACACATCAACTGCTCCATTAACGTCAACAGACTCATACAGTCGGGACTAGTCGATGGAAGAGAGAGCCAGATTCAGAGCGGCAAAGTCAGTTTTACTGAAGTTGAACTCTCTGTCGTCGTTTAGCTTTTCAAACCTGGTGGGCGGAGAACACTGCAGTAGAACTTGGAATGGCGGATGTAATTGATCCACGCTTGTTAGTGGTTCAGGGGGCTCAGAGACGTCACATAATGGTCTGGTGTCTGCGTTAACGAACAAAAGGTCTAAGGTTTTGTTTCCTACATTTTTGATCGAAATCAACTGCTTTAAACAAAGTACTGTCATTCCGTCAAGTAGAGCAATACTGGATTGTGGAAACGAAGATTCGTGGGGATCCGTAAGGGCAAATCTATCCAGGGTTGGGTACCATACAAGTGAAGGTTGATTAAAATCTCCAAATACCATTTGAAAATCCAGCTCTTGGGCCGAGTTTAGAACTCTATCAGCTGATTCAACGAACTTACTAATAATGTTCACGTTGCCTGCCAGATCAGGAGGAATGTAAGCGGACCCTACGTAAATATGTCTAGCTCCTGCATCTATAACTACCCAAATCTGTTCTATATCTGCATCCACTGCGACAGAACAAATGCTGGAGCTCAATCGAGTATGCACAGCTACTAGTACCCCACCACCTCTTGTCTTACCAGATCGTATGGGAACCGATAAGAAACCAACGCATTCCACTATTATAGGAACCAAAGTAAGCAACTACCACAACTACTGGAACAGTGTTCCTATTAATGGAGGATGAGTTTTTTTAAAATTGTATGCAATTTTATTGCAGTGTAATATTCTTTCTATCAAAATAGAGGTTGAAAGCTACAGATTGACGTATAATAATTGTGTGTACATCGTATATTTATTGTTTAATTAATAAAATGGCTTAGTACCTCCACTACTGGCTCACCCACGGTATGTCCTCATCCGTGTATATTGCAACAAAACAGGCAAGCAATATATCATTATCCTTCTACCACTCCGATCAAGATTTTTTACAAAGCAAGTTTGTCCGTCGTAGAAACCGTTTTGTCTGTATCATTGGTTGCTTTATGTGTTTGGATTCGCTGTTCAAGTTAGTAGCTAGGAGAGGTTGTGAAGCATATGTTTGAAACATTATACCAGCCAATTTCACATTCAAAGAGTCACATGAGCGATTTTATGATCGAGTGACTGGTAGAGTAAAAATGATGAAAAGACGCTGATTGTGATTCTCTCAAAGAGAAATTGTCTGGTTTTATGTATTAATCACATTGTTTACAATCACTTTTTGGTACTTTGAAGTAAAAACTATCATCCTAACATCTTATGATTTCTAAATTTTAAAACAAAAATAGCAAATAAATATTGAATTCCCCAAATAGTCTGAAGGCAAAAAAAAAAAATTATTCCAGACTCGAACTTCTCCAATTTGTATGAAAATTTTCATAATTGTTTTTTATGGCCAATCTTTTACATTT